TGGCGCAGATGGCCTGACCCGCCCCCTCTCACGCAGGTACACCTCCCGCTCCCGCTGCTACTCCGAGACCCCCTCGTCCTTCCTGCGCTGGCTGAGCCAGCAGACGCGCTGGTCCAAGTCCTACTTCCGCGAGTGGCTCTACAACGCGCTCTGGTGGCACCGGCACCACGCGTGGATGACCTACGAGGCGGTGGTCTCGGGCCTCTTCCCCTTCTTCGTGGCAGCCACCGTGCTGCGGCTCTTCTACGCGGGCCGCCCGTGGGCGCTGCTGTGGGTGCTGCTGTGCGTGCAGGGCGTGGCGCTGGCCAAGGCGGCCTTCGCGGCCTGGCTGCGGGGCTGCCCGCGCATGGTGCTGCTCTCGCTCTACGCGCCGCTCTACATGGGCGGCCTCCTGCCCGCCAAGTTCCTGGCGCTGGCCACCATGAACCAGAGCGGCTGGGGCACCTCCGGCCGGCGCAAGCTGGCCGCCAACTACGTGCCCCTGCTGCCGCTGGCCCTCTGGGCCCTGCTGCTGCTCGGGGGCCTGGTCCGCAGCGTGGTGCACGAGGCCCGGGCCGACTGGAGCGGCCCTTCCCGCGCCGCCGAGGCGCACCACCTGGCAGCAGGGGCCGGCGCCTACGTGGGGTACTGGGCCGTCATGCTGACGCTCTACTGGGTGGGCGTGCGGAGGCTGTGCCGGCGGCGGTCGGGGGGCTACCGGATCCAGGTGTGAGTCCAGGTGTGCGGGCTGCTCGCCCGAGGGACTTCAGGGGAAGCGAGAGGACACCAGCAGGGACCCTGGGGAGCCACGGACTTGCTGGGTGATTCTCTGGGCCTCGGTTTCCCTCCTCTGTGAAGCGAGGGGGTCGACCCAAGATTCTTCAGCCTGGACTATTTTGGGGCTGGGATTTCAGGGTCTCTGGGGAGGGGTATTTATTGATCAGGGCGTGGATTTTTAGGAGTGGGAGGAAAAGGGTCCCCACATGCTGTCCTGGGGCCTCCTTCCTCCCTGTTATTTAATATCCATTTGTACTGTGTGATTAGGATGTAATAAAGAATTTTATTTATTTTCTTCTGGGTCTCCACCCCCCCTTTTTTTTGAGAACTGAAGGGCTACAGGGTTGAAGGCTGAGGACTCGTGGCTCTGGCTTGGGGGCAAGCTGTCAGAATGGAGACAGGCTTCTTCTTCAGGAAACAGGGCTGATAATCCCATGGGTCAGAGTTGTGAGGGCAAAATTTCTCAACTTTTCATCACAGGTACTTATGGAGTGCCTGCTATGCAGGAACACGGTTAGGTGACACGGAGGACATTTTCCTGGTCTGTCCACTTGGCTACTCTCTAAGAAAGGTTAAGTCATACGTTGCCTCCTCAAACCCCTAGCACCTCACCCTTAGCTTGCTTCCCATCTCACTGATCTTCCCAGTGATCTGCGTCTGTGCCCACACAGGCCACCTACCCCCACTCCTGAGGGCCAGCTGTCTGCTTCAATGCCAACCACTTCCACCGGGGCACTGGACCTCATGCTCTCGGGTCCACTCAAAGATCTCACGCCTTCCGTTCTTCCCATGTCATCAGTTCTTCCCTCCCCATGAGTCTTTCCCATCAGCATTCAAATGTGCTGTCACTCTGATTTTTAAATACATTTTAAAAATAGGTTTGTTTATTTATTTGGTAGGGTGAGCGGTGAGGGAGCACAAGCATTGGGAGTGGCAGAGGGGGAAGCAGGCTCCCCGCTGAGCAGGGAGCCCATTGCGGGGCTCGATCCTAGGACCCCAATATCATGACCTGAGCTGAAGGCAGAGGCTTTACTGACTGAGCCACCCAGGTGCCCCCCACTCTCTGATTTTTAAGATTCCTTGTCTTGACCTATTTCCTCCTAAGCTACAGTCTCATTTTTTAAAGATAATCTCTACCCACAATGGGGCTCAAACTCACAACCCTGAGATCAAGATCTTTTGCATGCTCTACTGACTGAGCCAGCCGGGCGCCCCACACCGTCTCATTTCTAACAGCAAAACTCCTTGAGAGCTATTTACATTTGTCTCCAATTTCTCTCCCACAAAGTTCAGCCTTGTCAAGTGTGTAATTCAGTGGTTTTTAGTAAGTTTATAGACTTGTGCAATCTTTACTGTAATCTCATTTTAGAACATTTTCGTCACCCAGAAAGGAACCCCATACCCACAGGCAGTTCCTTGCATTCCCTCGCCCTGAAACCACCTCGATGCCCTAGACACCCATAATCTACTCTGTCTCTACAGATTTGCATGTATCATTGGCTCATTCCTTTTTATTGCCAAATAATATCCCACCACAGGGATGTGCCACATTTGGTTTACCCATTTATCAGTTGACTGACATTTGGGATGTTTCTGGTTTGGGGCCATTGTGAATAATGCTGTGAACATTCACATATAAGTTTTTGTGTGAACACGGGTTAAGTTCGCCCCAGGGGGATTCTCAAGGAGTGGAGTTGCTGAGTCATGTGGTGAACCTGTTTAATTTATTGAAGTGCCAGATGGCTTCCACAGTGCCTGTACCATTTTATAGTCTCACCAGCAAAGGAGGAGGGTTCCAATTTCCCTACATCCTCACCAACATTTGTTATCACCTGACTTTTTAAAAAAAAGATTTATTAGAGAGAGCTGAATGGGGTGAGGGGTAGAGGGAGAGGGAGAAGCAAACTCTCCGCTAAGCAGGGAGCCCGATGTGGGGCTTGATCCAAGGACCCTGAGACGCTGACCTGAGGCTAAGACAGACAGAGCCACTCAGGCACCCCTCACCTGACTTTTTGATTATAGCTTCCCAGATGGTGTGAAATGGTATCCCACTGTGGTTTTGATTTGCATTTCCCTGATGACAAGTGTGGCCTCCCACTGACTTTTAAAACCATGCCAATCAGATGACTCCCCCACCACTGCTGTAGGGAGATGGCTCTGGTCACGTTCATCAGTGATGTCCCCGTTGCTAAAACCAGTGGTCAATTCTCAGGCCTCGTCTTTCAGCATGTGGCAGCATCTGACCCAGCTGATCCCTCTCCCTGTGAAATGCTGTCTTCACTTGGCTTTGAGAATGCTGCAGCTCCCTGGCTTTCCCCCCGTTTTCCTTCTCAGTTCCTCTTTATAGTTTGGACTGCTTACCTTTGGAGAAACCTCCTCCTACCCACTTCTCTTATCCATCTACACTCATTTCCTCTGTGTGACCAGTGGCATGGCAAGCCAGTGGCACGGCTCTGGATACCTCATTCATGATCCATGCCTGGAAAGGGGGCTCTGCCGCTTGTATCTTCAGATCAGACCTCACCCCGAAATTCCAGACGCATCTACCCAACTGCCTCCAAGACACTTCCACTTGGGACACCTCCCTTATCAGATCCAACCCCTCATCAGATCCAGCCTCCAAGACACTTCCATTTGGGACACCTCCCTTATCAGATCCAACCCCTCCTCTTTCTCCTCCTCAGTCCGCAGGGAACCTGCTCTACAGCAGTAAATGGAGCTCTGACACTCTAGCTGCTCAGGCCAAAAATGCTAGAACCACACTGAGCTCAACAGTGGCCCCTACCACACAGGACTGGTTTGTTTTTTTTTTTCATTCACTCATTCTTTGATGACATCAATCAGTCCCCAAACCATTGACCAAGTATGTACTGAATTCCATGTTTTGCCAGGTTTGCAAATATAGAAGTGAATAAGAGGCAGCCCCTGCCTTCCAGCAGCCCTTAGTCAAGTAAACAAAGAGGGTTCCAGAGTTATAACCAGGATGCCCGGACACTTATGATTTTTATTTTCATAGATGAAGGACAATTTAAATTATTAAAGCTATAAAAGATTATAAATTTAGCTCCTCAGGGGTTCCTGGGGGGCTCAGTCAGTTAAACATGTGCCTTTGGCTCAGGTCATGATCCCGGAGTCCTGGGATGGAGTCCCAGATCTGGCTCCCTGCTCAGCGGGGAGCCTGTTTCTCCCTCTGCCTCTGCTCCTCCCCCTCTTAAATAAATAAAATCTTCAAAAAAAAAAAAAAATAAGTTTAGCTCCTCAGTGTCACTGGCCACATTTGACCTGCCTCATGGCCATAGGTGGCTGGAGGCCACCACAATGGACAGTGCATATCTAGAATATTCCCGTCATGGCAGAGGGTTCTACAGACATTGAAACTGCCATGTCTGTTGACACCTGCCCCTTCTCCTTTCTTCCTCTCATACCCAACACTCTGATCCACCAGCAAACCCCACTGGTTCTACCTTCAGGACAGATCTAGAGCCATTGCTCCTCACTGTCACCACTTTGTCCCCGAGCTGCATGTCCTTCCTGGATTAAAGCTGTCCGGATCACCAAAGCACCTAACACTGGTGGTTCCTGCTTCCACCCCTGCCGCTAGAGTTTATCCATGCATTAGCCATGCAAATCAAATCAAATCATGACCTTCCTCACCTCAAAAACTGCCCATAACTCTCATCTCAGAGGAAAAGCTAAACCTTACAGTGGCCAGGGTCCTGCGTGATCTGGTCCCTTCACATTCTCTCTGCACACTCATTTCTAAAGTCCTCCTCCAGATGCCTCCCCACGGCTATGTCCCCAACACTAGGCCCATTCAGGGGCTTCTGCCCCTGCTAGTTTCTGACTTGATCCATGTCTTACTGTGCTTAATTTTCTTGTTTATTATCTGACCATCCATTACAATCTAAACTCCATGGGGCTCCGGGTGGCTCAGTCAGCTAAGCATCTGATTCTTGATTTCAGATCAGGTCATAATCTCAGGGTTGTGAGATCGAGCCCCATGTCGAGTCCCACGTCAAGTTCAACAAGGACTCCATTTCTGCAAGCTGAAATGTCAAAGAGACTGCCAGAAATCTGGGGAGGGGTCTGGGCTTGTATCCAAAGTCCTCAACACAGGACCTTGTACTGTGACAACTCTACATGTTACTGTCATTAGAGGAATAGTCACCTGGGCATAAATGAGGTATGCTGGCCTCCTCCTACCTGCGTTAGTAGTGACCACCGGCAAAGATGGAAGAATCTACAGAGCTGAAATATATTCTTTATTTTAGGAATGAAAACAGGATAAGGAAGAAAAAGATACCTTTGTTAGCTGCCCTGGAAATACCACCGAAAGAACATCCTGGGGAAACAAGGAGGGATTTGTGTTGGGGGGAAAGGTTGGGGATTAGATATCCGGGTTCTGGAAGCCTGGGTTCCAAAGTTAGATAAGGCCTGCACTCTTGGATCTGAGGGAAGAGGGCCTGGGGTTTTGGACTCCTGAAACTGGAGGAGGAGGGGACTGGGGTCCTGGACTCCTGGGTCTGAGGCGTCTAGACTCCTAAGTCTGAGGGAGGTGGCGGCTGGGGGCCTGGGATCCTGGGTCTGAGGGAGGAGGGAGGTGGAAGTCTGGACTCCTGAGTCTGAGGGAGGAGGTGGCTGGGGGTCTGGACTCCTGAGTCTGAGGGAGGGGGTGGTTGGGGGCCTGGACTCCTGGTCTGAAAGTGGAGGGAGGTGGGGGCCTGGAGTCCTGGGTCTGAGGGTGCTGGACACCAGGTCTGAGGAAGGAGAGCAGGTGCTGGGACTCCGCGGTCCTGGGAACTCACCACACCATAAGGGTCGTACCGGCTGACGCTAAGGCCACGACGGCCGCAAGCAGGCACTGGTTGCTCAGCGTCAGAGCCTCGGGCTTGGCCAGCAGCTCGCCCAGGCTTGGCCTCCAAGGTTTGATCATGTCTGCCTCCCCGGGCGTCCAACGCAACACTTCCCGAAAGGAGACCTGGAGCTCGGTCTCCCCACGTGGGGGCGCACCAGTCACTGCGGGGCACGCACGTCAGTCAGGCGCGAGCCCCGCCTCCCGCGCAGCCCCGCCCCCCCGCGCAGCCCCGCCCGCACCGTTAAGAAAGAAGTAGAGCCGCGCCAGGGGGATCTGGTCGTGCACGATCACGCAAGAGAATGTCCCACGGTGTGCGGGTTGCACCGGCCGGATCCGCGCCAGGTATCCCCGGGCCCACGGGAGGTCTTGGAAGTAGGACACGTCCTGCGTCCGGACCTGAGGGACGCTCGGGTTGAAGCGGCGGGAGGAGAAGAGCCTCGCCCGAGCCCAGGTCAGATTCCCTCTGCCGGCTCTAGCCAATACGCCACGCTCAAGCGCCGCCCCCGAGCTAGACCACGCCTCCTCGAGCCCTGTGCCCACCCCTAAGCTCAGAATCACCGACCCTTCACGCACGACCCCGCCCTTAGAAGCGGCCTCCGGAGCCTCGCCTCCTCTTCTAAATCCCGGGCCCCCCCCCCCCTTGCACGAAGCCTGAATCTAGACCCAGCTCCCCCAATCCCCACCCGCGGCGTCCTGGCCCCGCATCCTCTAGAGAAGCATAACCCTCCTCCTAAGCCCTTCGCGCTGGCCCCGCTCGGACTCACACCTCCTCCTGCGAACTTCCAGGAATACGTGATTTCCTCCTTAGGCAGTTCGAAGTTCACAGTGCAAGAGAACTTAGCTTCATGACCGCGAGCCACCGTCAAGTCCTGAACTGAAAACAGGTCCGCGTCACCGCCCAAGCCCGCTCCCGTTTCGCCGGGTCTCTTTCCCGCTCAGCTCCCGTTCCTCCGGTCCGGGCGGTTCCTTCCCTTCCAGGCCCCGCCCCTCACCTGGGCAGTCCAGCGGGAGGTCGCAGACCGTGGAGTAGCACCCGCGGCAGCGGAAACGCCGGGCGACCTCCTGGAGTCCTGCGGAACGGAAAAGCTGCACCTGGGCTCCATCCGCGTTCCCCAGCCCGGGTCCCTCTGGCCAGGTTAGGGTCTGTGAAGCCTCCGGGCTCTGACGGCCACACAGGTCCCGGGCGCCGTCTTCCCCGCGCTCACTGGCGGGCTTGCAACGCTCTCCGACCTCTAGGACTCCTATTGGCTTGTTTTTGCTTTCGGGCCCGCCTTGTATTAGGTTTGTGAGCAATACCTGGTTTAATTGCTTTTCTCCAGGGTTCTTATTGGTCTCCTGTTCTAAATGCCAGGTTTCGCTCCCGACCACCTCCCTTCCCCCTCAATTCGGAGTTTGGGATGAAGAGCTTACCGCAGGGAGGGATGCAGGCCTGGACTGTGGAGAGAGAGGAAGCGTTACTATCCTGGAAGGCCTGGAGGTGCTTACCTGAAGCTCCCCTAGAGGACAGGTTACGGGGCCAGATGCTTTCCTGAGGGGGCGGAGCCAGGCCTGCCACCGCCCACCTAGGGGGCGGAGCCAGGCCTGCGGCGTTCTACCCGTAGCCTTCCACCTGTAGGCGGGGCCAGGCCTGCTGTATTCCTCTAAGGTTCCGCGCAGACCTGCAGCTAAGGCGGGTTCGACACTGGTGTATTTCACGGGGGGGCTAGACCCTGGGCGCTAGTTTCAGGGGACAGGGTCAAAGGGGGGGTTTCAATTAGAGAAGAGGTGTGGCCTGGCTAGAATTCGCCCACGGAGGGGGCCCAGTTGGAAAGGAGACGTCCCAGAGTGTGCAGCGCCCAGGAGATCCGGGAGAGAGGCCCAGGCTAATCTGGGACAGAAGCATCCCAAGATGGGGGTCCTAGCAGATTCTAGAATGTTCCTCGCAGGGGAAGAGACTCAGAGGGACTGGACTGAGGGGAGAAGATGGCTGGCTCAGGGTTTTAGAACTGTGTGTGCGCGCGCTTAGCTTCTTTTACCTTCTTTAAGCTGCGCAATGACCTTCCGCATTTTCTCCGCAGCATTAGGAAAAGCCACCTTAAAGGACCCTGGAGGGTGGAGGGGGGCCTTGTAGTAAAAACCCTTCCTCAAGGAAGTGTTTGTCACTTCCTCAGTCCCTTCCAAACCCACATGTGTAGTATATAAAACACCCCTTTTTATCCCCGCCTCCTGCCCTGTCTACCTGGAAGGCTACAGATCCCCCAAGTCTCCTTTCGTGTGCCTCTGGACTATCTTTCTGATGGAACCCCTCTTTTGCATTCTCTGTGTTGATCTTGTTGAGGGGAAAGGGGAGGATAAAGATAAAATTCCTCACCAAGTTCTGCTAGGCCCTGTAAGATCTGGCCTAGTTTCCTCCACCTCTCTATACCGCGCCTGTTACCCACCTTTCATTTCCCCTAGTATGAACACCACCATTAATCTCTATCACCTCAGGGCCTTTGCATGTGCTGGCCTGTTCCTAGCACATCTTTCCCGCTACTCCCACTCATCCTTCATCTCCTACCTCATGTCATCTCCTTCGAGGTTTTCCCTGACCACAAATCTAATCTAATCCAGTTCCCTATTTTTGCCTCTCCAAGTGTTCCATTTGCTCCACGTAGAGTTCTCACCAGTGTACAATTATATATATTTATATATACAGTGATCATTTAAGTCTGTGTCTTCAGTTAGTAAATAGGTCATTCTTCAGTGCTGTACCTCCAGAACCCAGGAGAGGGCCCTGAGTCTTAGCAAGTGCTCAGGAAGTATGTGTAGAATGAATTCCAGGATCCAGCTAGAGTGGAGACCACAACTGGTGGCCTGTGGCTCTAGTCCATCTCTTGAATGTGTTATATTTGGACTGGAAAGTATTTTTAAAAATGAACCAGTTGCCATCGTATAAAATTTGGGAAAGTCACATAAAATGTTTGGCATCTGTTTTCCAAAATTTGGAAGAGCTCTAACACAAGAGACTGTATTTTCATGAGGCAGCAATTAGCTTGGTGGCAGCTACCCCCTTTCGCCAGGGCCCGCACCTGCCACTTCCTCATGGTCTCCAGACTATTCATTTCTACCCCCTTTGACTCTTTTTATCTCTGTTCTCGAGGGTGTTGGAGTTTTGACCATTGTACTGGCCTCCAAACTGTGAGGTTTTGTGGCTCTTCCCAATGCAGATGGCTGGCTGGATTGATTTACTGGTGGAGGTGGTTTGGGAATTTAGAAATGCAGCAGATGTGGGGCGCCTCGGTGGCTCAGTTGCTTAAGTGTCCGACTCTTGATTTCTGCTCAGGTCATGATCTCAGGGTTGTGAGATCAAACCCTGCGTTGGGCTCCGCACTCAACACAGATTCTGCTTGGGATTCTCTCTCCCCCTTGGCCCCTTCCTGTGCTCTCTGTCGGAACTGTGTCCCTCCCAAACTTATAATGTTGAAGCCCTAACCCCCAGGACCTCGGAATGTGATTGTACTTGGATATACAGCCTTAAAGAGGTAATTAAGTTATAATTAGGTCATTAGGGTGGGCCCTGATCCAGTGTGACTGATTGCCCTATAAGAGGAGATCTGGACACTGACACACCGAGGGGAGAACATGTGAAGACACAGGAGAGAGAGAAGATGGCCATCTACAAGCCAGAGAGAAAGGCCTGAGAAGGAACCAACCCTGCTCACATTGACACCTTGATATTGGACTTCTAGCCTCCAGAATTGTGAACAAATACATTTCTATCTTTTAAGCAACCCAGTGTATGGCACTTTGTTAAAGGGGCCCTAGGAGACTGATACACAGGGATTGCTGGTTGCTTCCAAATATTTCTGTAGTAACATCACACTGCATTTCTGCTGGGGAAAGCACCCCCCGGCCCTACCAACCACCCAACTAAAAGACTATATTCCTCAGTACCCTTGCAGCTTCGTGTGGTCCTGTGACCCACTTGTGGTCATATAACCAAGTTTTGGTCTGATTTGTAAGTGGAAGTATTGTATGCGAGTCACAAGAAGGAGCCTTAAGAGAGAAGGGGCACCATCTTATTGACTTTTCCCCTTCCTCCATCTGCTGCCTGAGACTTGGATTTGATGGCTGGAGCTCTAGCAGTGACGCAGAACCATGAGGATAAGGACCACATCCTAGGATAGTAAAGCAGGAAGCTGGAAGGGGTTTGGGTCCCCCAGAAAAGGAAGTGGTGCTGCCATCTGAAACTTAAGCGCCTGCCTCAAGACTTCTAGCTTCTTTATGCCACTGCCTGTGCCTGTGTGATTTCAAACCATACAGAAAGGGAAGGAACTAATACTGGTGACAGAGTGGCTGATGGGATGATCCTTGGGTATAAACTGGAGAGGGGGGCACTGAAGCCAGGAAGTGGGTTCAGAATGAGGGGTGAAGGACCTAGAGGTCTCTCCTTGGCCACAGGGTGGGCGTGTGGTCTGGAGATGGCAGGATGGTCAGGAGGATGGGGTCAGAGTGGGGTGCTCAATTGAGAGTCCAGGATGCTGGAGAGTCATTCAAGAAATATCTCTGTGCCAAACCAAGTAACTCACAGGGAGGATGAGTGTGGGATATGCCAAGGGAGCTATGGCAGGGGTGTGTGTGTGTGTGTGTGTGTGTGTGATATCTAAGTACGTCATGGGAATAAGGTAGGGATGGCGTGAAATGTCCAAAGAGGCCAAGAGGTGAAGGTTATCTCAAGTGAACCATGAGGGGGCATGAGTGGATGTTGCCAAGTCTCCCCCAAAGGGGTGTGTATCGTTAGGAAACTTCCAGCTGTTTCAGACCATCCGGGTTTGAGTCCTGGCTCATCTGTCTGTGAGCACACCTGCCTCCCATCTGAAGAATCCATTTCAAGTCCTCTTCCCTGCATGACCTTGACCAAATATGTAACTTTCCTGATCCTCGCTTGGTAAAATGAGGACAATATTAGGATTGGGGGGGTGGGATTTAACGCCATACAATATGAAAGCATCCCCATGCCAAACTACGTGACATTGGATGGCTGCGTGAGAGGATGTTCGTAAGCGCTTAGGATGGTGTCTGGTATACAGTGAGTGTATTACCATCTCCAAGTTTGAGATGGGGAAACGGAGGCACAGAGAAGTTAGGAAGGTAGCTGAAGATCACAGAGCTAGATTTGACCCCCGGTGGTTGAACTGCATTCCCTCTGGCACACTGCCCTTCTCTCCACACTGTACCACCCACTCCCTGGTTTATAGACACAAACAGTATCACCTGCCACCATCCAGAGCCTCTCTGAGTCAGCAGGTCCATCTCTTAGGTCCTCCATCTGGGAGACCTAGGAATTGCCCTTTCCCTCCCCAGCCCCCCCACCCCAATACAGCCAGTCCCAATATCTCCTGGGTCCATCCTTTCTGTCCAGCTGGGCCCCAACTTCCCCATCTGGAAAGTGGGGTTACAAAACCCCGCCGGACAGGGCTGGTATGAAGGTAGCCTTCGGGAGGATAATTAGTTATCAGTTAGTGCAGACACAGCCTCTCCCATGTGTGGGGCAGCTTTGGCACAGAGTCCGATCCATCATCTTCCTACCCCTCCCCCCTCACGCTTGCCCCTCTCTGCCAGCCCTCGCCTTGGGGTTGCGACTGGTCTGAACCACTGCTGACCTCCTCACAGGTCTCCCTGCTTCTGCCTTTGGCCCTCGTGGCCTTGGTCAGATCCTGCCTCTTTCTCTCTGCCTAAAACCCTCTGATGGCTTCCACCTCAAGCTGAAGTCAGTTCAACGGTCCACAAGAACGGCTCTCCAAGTGCGTTCCTGGAGCAGCAGCGGCTGGGAACTTGGTTTCCTGGCCCTGCCTCAGACCTACTGGTCAGGAATGGAGGGTGGGACCCAGGAGTCTGCATTTCCGCAAGCTTCCAGGACCTTCTTGCACACACCGGGGCCTGAGAACCACTGGCCTCTGAGGTCCTACGGGATGTGGTTCTTGCGGCCTCTGACTTCAGCCTCCCATCACCCATCCCCGTCGACTGCCCTCCAGCCCTTCGCACTGGCTCTTCCCTCTGCCCAGGATGCTCTTTCGCACGCCCCTCCCCAGTTATCTGCCTGGCTCTGCCACCTGGTTCAGGGCTTGCCTCAGTTGGACCTTCTCCTGTGCAACAAACCTGACCAACCTATTTAAAATAACCACCCACTGGGTCCCCCGTTCCCTTTCGCTCCCTGTCTGCCTCCAGATCCTGGATCACCAACTGACATACTGCAGTGTTTCCCTGATTATGTTTATTGTCTGTCCCTCCCACCCCCCAGTATGAGCAACGTGAGGGCTAGTGGTCTGCAGATTTGGTCACAACTATGTCCCCAGTGTCTCTGGCACATTCGATGAGAACACCTGTCAGTCATATTGCACCAGCTTCTCCCGGCCTCCAGTCTGCCCCCCTCAAAACCCCAGAGGGTCTTTCTGTGCCCAGAGCGGCGCCCCCCTTCCCCCTGCTCACAGCCTGCGGACAGTCTTAAGTGTCCTTGACCTTTCAGCTAAACCCTGGACCTGTGTGTCTAGCTGTGTCCTGGATATCCCCCAAGTTCCTCACCTTCGCAATGTCCTAGCCCAGCTCACCATCTGCTCCCACCCCTGCTCTTTCTCCCGGGCTCCCTGTCTCAGGGAGGACCCAGGGCCCACCCTCGCATGGAGCTGGACCCTGGGCACTGTCCATTACCCCTCGACCCTGGTCCCCAGACAGACTGTCAGACCCAAGCCCCGTCCCTCCTGCCCTTGACTCTCTTCTTGAGTGCCTGCTTCTCCACCTTCACAGCCCCGGCCCAGCTTGGGCCTCCTCACCCCAGCCTCCACCCAGGCCTCCCAGCCTCCACTGCCTCCCTGCTCCAGTGCATCCCACACACAGGTTTAGGGGGGTCTTCTACATGCAGAACTGCACTTGCTCCTGCTCTCTTCAAAACCTTCTATGACAAGACGGCCTAAGTGGGAAGAAGGTGTTTTCTGGAGTCCTCAGCACCTCCCCCCACCCCAGCTTTGAGTTGCTCAGGCCTCTCTATGGGGATGGGGGATCTGCAGCTGAAGTCTTCTCTGTGCTGACTCCCCCAGATGCCCCCTGGGTGGACAGGAACCTCCTCAACTTTTGGGATCATTGTCAGAAAGCTTGGTGGGCAAGACCAGAAAACAAAGGTAACAGCAGCCGCAGAAAGAAGCCCTGAGCCCTGGAGCGAGGACTGGCCAGTTTATGCGGCACGCAGTGCTCCCTCTCCCTCTGAGGCTCCTCTCTCTCACCGTACTGCATCTCAATCAGGGAGGCAAGGACCTTGTCCCATCTTATAGGTGGGTAAGTTGAGACCCAGAGGGAGGCAGTAACACATCCAGAACCTCATAGCCAGGAAGCGGGGGAGCCACACAGCCAGTTCAGAGCTCATGTCTACCTGACCCCAACTAGGCTTCAGACTCTAGGTCATTTCTGCACTGGTCTTTGAGCTCCCCACCAACACCCGCCCATCCCTTGCCCCCCCCACCCCCGACAAGTAATCAAGCTCACTCAGCTTATTAGCACTGCCTCCTCGGGATCTGCCACATTCTGTGTCCCCCCACAGCCATCTCTTGGGGATTTGCACCCCACATCCACCAAACCATCCCCACCTCACTCACCCCGGGCCGTGGCCATCTCCTGGAGAGAGTGGGTCATCTGGGTGAAGGCGTCATGCAGGTGGCTTCTCTCATCGTAGTCTGGGAGCAAGGGTGGAGGACAGAGGCTGGGAAAAGCAGTTCCCTCAACACCACGTCCACGGTGTGGACATTCTCTGTCTCTCTAGGACACCTCCTGTCTCCCTAGGACACCTCCTGTCTCCAAGTCTTTGTCCTGGCCCCAGTGCTGTCCCCCATCTCTGAGTCTGCCCCACACCCCCTTCTATCTACCCTGTCTATCCTGCCTTCTCTAAGTCTTTCCCCCATCTCTGTTCTCCTTCTGGAGTCTGTCCCCCAACTTTGCCCTCCTCCCGGAGTCTGTCCCCCATCTCCGTCCTCCCGGAGTCTCTCCCCCATCTCTGTCCTCCTCAGAGAGTCTGTCCCTCATCTCTCTTCTTCCCCCTGAGTATCCCCCATTTCTGTCCTCTTCCCTGAGTCTCTCCCCCATCTCTCTCCTCCCCCGAGTCTATCCCCCACCTTCTCCAGGAGTCCGTCCCCCCACATCTCTATCCTCCCCACTCTCTGAGTCTGTCTCCCCATCTATATCCTCCCTTCAGTCTGCCCCCCAGTCTCTATCCTCCCCCCCTCTTCAGTCTGGACCCCCACTCGATCCTCCTCTCACTGAGTCTGTCCCTCAGTCTCCGTCCTCCCCTCTAAATCTGCCCCCACCCTCCCACTCTGGGCGAATCTCTCTCAGTGGTTTTCCACGCTGTCTGGAAGATCCCTGTGTATTATGCGCCTCGCCCCCCAGGCCCCCGGGGGAAGTGACAGGTCGCCTCACTGATTTCAGTGTCTAGGAGGCCCTCAAAGGCAGCGGCGAATGCCTCCTCACACTTCTCCAGCTCGGGGCCCTGTACACCAATAAAGATCTGGCAGATGCGCATGCGCTCCTTATAGGACGTGAAGCAGAGGAGACAGGCCCAGGCGGGGGCCCTCAAGACCATGAGGGCGACCAGGGCAGATGGGACAGCGCTGTCTTGGGCCAGCAGGGCCATAACAGAGGGTCGTGGCCCAGGGAGAAGCTGGTGACCTTTGTGAGGTCACCATGGGGTGGGGGAGGGGCATGGGGTACAGGTCAGAGGTTGGATTTCTGCTGTGGGTCAAATGTCAAGGTCTGGGTTTTCAGGGAGATGGGGTATGAGGAGTCAGGGGTCAGGCAGGCGATGCCCCAGCTTGTGGATGGGCCGGACGCCAGGCTCCCAAGAACCTCACCTGTGACCCTGGATGTCCTCACAGGTTAAAGGGTCTCAGGGACCCAGGGGCCGGGAGGGGGGGGGGGGGGGGCCTGGCGGGCCCGGGGGGGGGGGGGGGGGGGGAGTCAGAGCAGAGATGGCACAGAGATACCGTGAGAGCCCGAGAGACAGAAACTGAGACATGGAGAGATACCGGAAAGCACAATAAGAGAAGGAGGGAGCGTCTGAGAGGCCGCAGGGTAGACACACAACCCGCTCCAGAGACACGGCGGAGATGGACAGAGAAAGCAAAATAGAGGTTTCTTCATGGGAGAGAAATTCTTTGAGGGAAGTGGGAGGAGGGAATGCAGGGACAGGACAGGAGAGACAGCGCAGCTCCTCCTCCCAGGGTCCCCGGGCATGGGGCAGCGGTCAGGGGCTGGGGTCCCCGCCGGGCGTCCCGTGCAGGGCGCAGCCTGGGGAAAGCTAGGAGGCCGTATAGTGATCTCCGTGGGTGTCCTCCTCAACTATACAACCTCCTACCTCAGCCCGGGGGGCGCGGCCGGTGGACAGACAGACGGATGGATGGACAGATGGGGTCAGGGAGGGCGGGGAGGGCCGGGAAGACCCCAGCCGCGATGGTGAGCCCCCGACACGGACCCACAGACTCGAGCTTGTGTGCGGCGAAGGCCCCGCAAGGTCGGTTCTACGGGTGGGTGCCAGGACCCAGGAATCCGGGCCCCCGGCCCCCTCCTCCCCAAGGAACCCAGGAATCAGTCCCTTGGCCCCTTCCTCAGCAGGGACCCAGGAGTTCAGGCCCCTGGCCCCTTCCTCCTCAACGGTCCCCGGAGTCCAGGCCGGCAGGCCCTTCCTCTCTCAGACACGGAAGTCCAGGCCCCCAGCCTCCTCCTCCCTCAGACCCAGGAGTCCAGCCAGGCCTGCCTCCCCGGGGGAGGCATAGCCGGGCTTCCTGGATGTGGAGTCAGAGGAAACCTCACCTGTTTGGGAGTTTGGCCCCTTGGCCAAGCAGCTCCCTCCCTCTCTACCTGTCAGATTCTGGAATCCAGGACTAGGGCGGAGGCAGGGATATGAAACCTTCAAACCTCTCTAGATATTCCCCCATTTCTTCTTTTGGCCTCCCATCATTTATAATGATGACAGCTGTGATCCCTGAGCCCTAAGGCTGCCCCACGCCCAGCAGAATGCTGTCAGCTCCCCCACTGGGCAGGGAAGAAGGCCTCCCAGAGATCCGGAGAGGCTGGGCCCCAGACGGGCAAGTGGGAGGAGCTGGGCCTGGTAGGCGGTGGCCCAGCCCCCAGCCTTGCCACCCCAGGGCTAAGAGTGTGCACCTGCGAGTCGCAGGTCAGTCCCTCTGTCCAGTTCTGTCTGTCTTGCTCTCCCCCCACCACGCTCCACCTCCATCTTTCAGGCCCTCTCCGCCTGCTGTCTGTCCCTGCTGCGCCTGGTCCCCGTGTCGGACCCTGGCTTACCTGGTCGCTGCCACCTCCTGTGCCTGTTTCTCATTCTCCGCGCTCGTCCTGCTCTCCCCTCCACGGTTCCGGCGCTCTCCCTCGCGGATGGCCTCTCCCTCTCTCTCTCCTTTCTCATTCTTTTTCTTTCCCTTAGGTCTTTCTTCCTCCCTGGTCCTCCTCCCTCCCTCTCTCTTTGTCTCTCATTCTCTCAGTCTCTTTCTCCCTCAAGGTCTCTGTCTCTGGCCTTCTCCCTTCTCCTCTCCCTTTCTCTCCATCTCACATCTCTGTCTCCCTCTGTCTCTTTCCTCCCTTCCCTCCCCTCCCACCCTTCTTTCTCCCTCCCTTCTCCTTCGCCCCCTCTCTGTCTCTCTCTCTCTCTCTCTCTCTCTCTCTCTCTGTCTTTCTCCTTCCCTCTCTCCCTCCCCCTCACAGCTCGGAGCCAGGTCTGGAGCTGGGGGTGGGGTGGGGGTGGTTCGAGAAGGGGCCCAGGGCTGGGGTAGCGACCTGCTGAGGAGGGGGAGGAGAGGCGGGAAGGGGGCGGAGGAGGAATGGAGGAGATGGGGGGCCAGAGTCGGGTCCGGCTCTCATCCCCCTTCCCTCCTTCCCAACCTCCCAGACCCTCAGGCGGGGGCGAGAGTCAGGCCAAGGTGGGGAGGAAGGGGAAGGGAGGAGGCTGCCCCCGCCCCCCCACAACCTGGCCCAGAGCCCAGGCCGGGTTCCCAGCATGCCCCGGGGCTGCCTGGGGCCTGAGGAGGGGGTGAGAGGGGAGCTGAGAATCTTAAAGATTTGCAGGACCCGAGCATCTCCCCACTCCCCCGACAAATTTCTCCTTGGGGAAACTGAGACCCAGAGAGAAGGGTCAGGACTTGTTCAAGGTCACCGGACACGGCGTTGATGGAGACATGAACTCTCTGGGCCCATAGGCCCGATTTGGGGAAGGGGTTGGCGCTGGACTTCCCTCAGGTCTGGGTCCCCCTCCCCCTCTCTACAGACCCTGGGGAGCCCCCAAGGGTCAGAGAGCAGACCCAAACAGTCTGGCACCATGGCAACCAGCTGGCCCCGCCCCCTTAACCCCCGGAGGGCTGGGATCCAGCTGGGGCTAAAAGAAGAGGTGGGGACGCCTGGGTTCGGGGGAGGAAGGGCTAGGGGCCCGGACTTGGTCATTTTGTTAAGGGTGGGGGTTGGGGTGTGGACTTCCAGGTCTGAGGGAAGAAGAGGCCGGAGGCCCAGACCCTCTCGGGTCCTGGGGTAAAGAAGGCTAAGGGTTCGGATTCTGGAATTTTGAGGGAGGGGGCAGGGTTGCGGACTCCCAGGTCTGAGGGAGGAGGGGGCTGGGGCCTGGAATCCCAGGTCCCCAAGGGAGCCTGGATGCTGGGCCTCTCCTCCGCCAGACATCCCCTGCCCCCGCCGCTGACCCTGGCCTGTCTGGCAGCCCAGACAACCTCCCCCTCCTCCGCCCCCACCTCGCACGGCTCACCCTTGACCCCGCAAAGCCCCGCAGCCCCTTCCCTGCCCCTCCCCCTCCCCTCCAGCCAGACGTTAACCCTTCCGCTGCCGGAGGCACCTCCAAAGCCAGCCTCTCTCCCTCCACCTCCCCTGAGGGCTCGGGCGGGCATCTTGCCCGAGTGTCCTCCAGCCTCCGCATCTAGCTATCCCGGCCCCATCTCTCTCCTCCTCTGGAATCCAGGAGGTGTTCCCGGCCTCTCCTCCTCCGGACCCCCAGAGTCCCGGCCCCCCGGCCCCCCCGCCCCCTCCTCCAAGGATTCGGGAGTCTGGGTCTCCAGCCCCCGCCTCCTCCAGGAACCCAGAAACCCAGGCCGCCGAGGCCTCCTCCTTCTGGGACCCTGGGTCCTGGCCCCCGCCGTCCCCCACCCTCCCGCCCACCAATCCCGCTTTCCGCAGACTCACGGCTCCGGGGCTCCCGCGTCGCAGGGCAGGGGCTCCCCGGCCAGCCCTCAGGCCGCGCCGAGTCGGGCCCGCCGCCGCCCGCTCTCCATCCTCTCCCCGCCTCTGCCGCCCGACGGCCTCTCCCCTTCCTCCCCGCGGCCCCGCCATCCTCCTTCCCTCCTCCCGCCTCCCTCCGGCCCGCGTCTCCGCCCGGGACCCCGCGGGCCGGCCCCCTCCCCGGGCGCCCCCGCCCCGGCCCCTCCCCGCCGCCGGCCGGGCCCGGCCTGCCTCCCCCGGCCCCGGAGCTGGCCCCGGTCCAGGGGAAAAAATTCCATCCAGCCCCGGGGAGGAGGCGCGGGCGGGGGAGGGAGCGCGCGGGGAGGCCGGCCGGGAGCGTGACGCAGGGCGGAGGGAAGGGACAAAAGGGGCCGGGGCGGCGGGGCGCCGCGCTCCACTTCTCCCTCCCTCCGCCTCCCGCTGCCGGCCCGGCTCGCCCCTCTCCGCTTTCTCCCGCGCCCTCCACCTCTGCTCCCTCGCCGTCTCGCCGCGGCCGCCGCCTCCTGCGCGGTGTATTCTCCTCCTGGTCTCTGTGTCTCTCCTCTTCCTCCACCCGCCGGCCCCCCCTCCCCCGCCGCAGCGGGGTCCGCTCCCCTCCTCGCTCTCCCCCTTCCTGCCCTCCCAGCCTCCTTCTCTTCCCTCCGCTTCGGTCCCCCCTCCCGCTCCCCGCACTGGGGCCCCAAAGGTGAATCAGACCCGTATCTGCCCTTGCAGACGGAGCTCTCAGTCTGATGGAGGAGACAGCCCCCGACGCAGACAGTTCCAATCCAGGGCGATCGGGGTATGACAGAACCAGCGGCCGGCGGCTGTGGGAGCCCAGGGGCGGAAGGAATCCTTTCACTTGAGGACAGCCGGAGGGACCTCCGAGAACCGGGAGAAGTTAGATCTGGGTGGCGGAGAAGGGGGCTGGCCGCAGCAAGGGCGTTCCAGGCAGAGGCTCGAAAGCAGGGAGCAGGGGGCGATTCCGGGAGGACCGCAAAGCAGTCAAGTCTGCCTAGAGCCTTAGAGGACAGGAGCCGATGTGCTCCGAAGATGCGGCTGAGGTGGTGGGCGGGGCCAGGCTCACGAGCGTTTCGAAGGCCTGGCTGGGAACTTTCTCCTGGGGGGTGACAGAGAGTCATGGAGGGCTGTGGTCAGATCTGGGCGTCGGAGAGTCCCCTCTGGGGTCCTGTGGGGGGGATGGATGCAGGGGGAGGATGCCCGAGCTGGGGCTGGGACCCTGCGGACAAAAAGGAGGGGGTGGGGCAGAGAATGTGAGGACGCAAGAGCGCCTGGGGACTGACAGACTGTGGGGGTGACGGGAAGTGAAGAGGGTAAGAAGATATATCAGCCAGGAGTCTGGCGCAGGAACTGAGGGGACAGAAGTTTTTCCCAGCTGGGAATCAGTAGGAACAGGGGACAGGAGAGGTTAGGTGCTATGCG